ATGTTTTTGTGTTAGTAGTGACTATATTTTCCTATATACTGGGTGTTTCATAATATATGCGCAGGACTTCAGGACGTGATAGCTCCAAAAATATGAAAAAACGTTTCTATTAACTTACCCTCTAAAATGCACCATTTTCGAGATGCAGGGTGTTGAAATTGAAAAAAAAAAAATGTCTACGCCACTGGAAAAAGTACGGTTTTGAGACGCTTATTTGAACCGCCAATGTTTTCTACACAAAAAAGGTACTCTTGGTCATACGCTCTAAAGTCGACAGTTTTCGAGAAAATCAAATTTTGTTTTATTTCCAAAAATCGACCATGTATTTCAACATTGTCACAAAATACCTTTAATTTATGAGAAAAATTAATATTTTTATTACTATTATTTACCTTAAACCTTCATATTTGTAAACGAATATATTACAAAATAACCAATAAAGCTTAAGTAACTGCATAAAATTTAAAATTGGCAAAATATCGAATTTTAAACACTATCTCTCATTTAATGCTTATATTTCTATGTCCCACGTGACGTCATCGTCAGTCAGCTGCATGCGCAGGAACATACCGTTAGTCTGTGTATCGTGGATATTTGCGAGGGTTCATTGACAGTTCGGTAGTCAGACTCTTATTATCTTTTACAGTGATACAATAATTTGAAGGCAATATGGCCCGTAGCATACACATCTGGACGAGCTAAATGCGATGTCGGCAAGCAACAAATTCCTCAAATGTAAAGGTTGACCATTATTGAATAATAATGAGTTATACAGTAATACTCATTATTCAACAGTAAATTCCCATTTTACAAATTTAATTTGGTTGTTAAGTTATTAACTCACCATCGGATATGCAGACCGTTGGGTGTATATTATCGTCTATTTCTATTTCAGACATTTTATATTTTTGTGTTCGTACGGAAGCGTTATCTTGTGTCGGGATAGTTAGCAGGGATGTTGAGACGTTGGCGTCGTTATTTAGAGCGGCGTGACGGAAAAAGAGCGTCGTGACGCAGAACGCCAAACGTAGAAGGTAGAGAAGCAAGGACGTAGGACGTCAGATGAGATATTGGGTGTCGGATAAAGAGATAACGTCGAGCGTCGAGACGTGAGAACGTTCGGGAGGTAGGTCGTCGGGCTAAAGAGCGTCGGATAAAGATAAGATTTGAACTGCGTGGGTTTAGGAAAGGTACTGAACTTCAATTATACTAGATTTGAAGAATAATACGACTGGAGCTCGAAATCAACTGAACTGAGTTTGATTTCTTAATGCCTTTCGAGTCCCCTTAAATCGGATCTTTATACTCGATTTAATTAGTTTTTGTGACGTCAGTGAACGAATTTGGGCGGATAGGGGGTGGCTGATTTATTACTTGATTTAAAAAGTTGGTGTATCGAAAAAAACGGTCCTATTCAAACTGACTTAAGATAAGTGCGTTAAGAATTTTAATGGTTATTACTTCGTGACAACTTATGTTGTATGTTTAAATCGAGTTCCCAGACATTTGTAAGAAACTGGATCTCTTACGGCAGGGTTATAGCTATTATTTATTAGGTGTCGAAAATAAGATTTAATTATCTGGGAGACATTTCGTTAAATGAAGTATTTTGAATTTAATAAGAATGCAACTTTTCTTTAATAAAATAATTAATAAATTAAGGTACCTGGGTGCGGTAGGTTGCAATACTTTTACTTGCTTTTACTAGTGAATGTATACATGACATGTAGGCACTTTCCCCATTTTAATTGTATTGGTTAGAGTGACGGAAGGAAGGGGAATGACGTATGAAAGTTGAGGATATCATAGAAAGATGCATGCTACAAAATATTACAGAGGTATGATACTTAACCGATGAAATCTCATCAAGTTCATGCATTACATAATGTGGAGCCGAAAATTAAAATGGTCCGTTAGAACCTGTAGAAATAAAGCATAATAGAATTTGAGTTAAATTAAATTGAAATAACTATGTAACAAGGACCTTAATGATAAATATAAATATTTATAATACTTTAAATTAAGGTTTTTCTTTAATGACATAAGCTCATAGGACGCTTGCAGGGCAATCTAGCAGATTCAATTTAATTTTCCCATGATCGGCTGATTTGATTATTTTTAAGGATGTATTGTCTGAAATAGATAGCTTGTTTGTTAAATGTTAAGTTAATATTGGGTATTTTTAGCCATTTTAATAGAATTATAAATGTTCACTAACATTCTTAAGGCTGAGCATTTGCTAAAGACAACACATATTTTATGAGATAATGCTGTCGCCCCGGAGCGCTACGGCAAATTATAATAATAGCCTGCCTTTCCCTACACAAGGGAGGGAATTAGGGAGAATATTATTATTATTATTATTATAAAAGAAATCTCAAGTAATGTTTATTATAGATAAATTTAGTTGAAAATCAAAGCATCATTGTTCTTAGAATCCAAAAAGATACTTTATCTGCAGATATTAAGTCTAACATCAATTAAAAGGAGTATTTACAATAAAAAATGGTAAAATTAAATCAAAGAATACTTGTTCCACCATTTATAAGACTATTTACATCCATTGTTTGATGGTTGCCTTGCACACTGCCTTAGCAATTCAACGGAAGGGTTCGGGGCCTGCCATGACCTTATCTAAGCCTTATCGGGCTAGTTCGCAGCCTGCTACCCAGGCTAAGATCACTTTGTTTTAACTACTTATCTCGCTCAGGTTTTCTAGTATTCACACATATCTATATTTACAATAATAAAAAATACACTGCATGCAGTGGTCCATGTGGTGATATTCTGGCTGGTATTTCTCTTGATAAGGTACTTTTATGGAGTTCGTCTTTTGCTCCTTGTCGATTTGACATTATCAAAACAGGAAGGTGATTTTGGTATGTCGGTAGTGGTTAGTGTTGAGATTTTGTTTGAATTTAATTTTGTCATATTGTATGAAGGCAATATTTTTTTTCTCTGTGCTACCTGAAAATCTGAAACTTTATAAAAAATAAAAAATTTAACCGCCGGGTAAAAGGTTCTAAATGCAATAGCGACTTAGCTCAGTTAAAAATTCGATTTCCCATTTAAATAACATGGGAAAAATTTTTTGTTGGTTTCAATTTGATTTTTCGATATTAAAACAAATTTTTTAGGAGAAACCTGTATATAGCTTTTGTAGGGCATAAAATTCGCTACAAAAAGTTTTTCTGAATCAATCCTCTCCGACTAACAGTTTTTGAGTTAAATCTTCTTTAAACAAAAAATTATTATTTATACATATAATAATAACTTATTATAAACATTAGGACGCTACAATCGAGTCGTAATATGATTCAGGTTTTTAATTCCAAAAACTAGTTTTAAATTAATTTAATAAATATAAATTTCAATTAATAATCATTATATAATCAAATTATCAATATGCTAAAATTTAAATTATTGTTTATATTCTAATTTTAAAATTTTTTAGTTTTATTTCTAACCACAGTGACGCTACTCTTGACTTCGTCTATACGTCCATTGATGTAAACAGAAGTTTTTGCTCTTCAATCGTATTGATTAGCATTGATTGTTGATAATTGTTAATAAATTTTAACATAAAGAAGATTTGATGTAAACTATAATTAATATTCATATTTCTATCTCTATAACTTAAAAACTGTTAGTTGGAGAGGATTTATTTAGAGAAATTTTTTGTAGCAAATTTCATGCCCTACAAAGCTATTCACGGGGTTTTCCTAAAATAAATTTTTTTAATATCGAAATATTAAATTGAAACAAAAAAAAATGTTTCCTATGTTATTTAAATAGGAAATCGAATTTTTGAATGAGCTAAGTCGCTATTGCATTTAGAACCTTTTACCCGGCGGCATAATGTTTTATTTTTTATAAAGTTTTAGAATTTCAGGTAGCACAGAGAAAAAAAATATATTGCCTGAAAATGAAGCACCCTTATGTAGATGTGCAGTGGCGTGTCGTTTAATAGTACCTCAATTGCTGCAGTAAGGATAGTATGCATAGCCACGCCTGTGACACTTAGACAGGTGAGTCGCTGATTTCCGCTAAGTCGGCCTATTGCACTTGCCTGTGCAGTTTGGTTACACACGCCACTACGCCATAGATAATCATGGGTCTTATCACCCTTGTGTATAACCATAAGGTCATAAATATGACTGTATTTGGCTTCTATGACAAATGGATAACAATGTTATTTAGTACTAGTGATCTTAGCCCTGTAGTTACCCGTTTTTGTGTGAATAGTACAACTGTTGTTTTTTGTGCCTTATTGGACCATAGAAAATATTGGACAATTGCTCCTTTTTGCACCAGTAGTTCACTATGTTTAGAGCTGTTTGATATCGCTTCGAGACTGTGCCTGCAAATTGTTCCTTGACGATAATTGCTAGGTCGTCCGCATATCCTATGCATATTGTTACTGCTGGGATCTTTTTCTGTTCTAGAGCCTTCGTTATTGACTTGGTTGAGACATTATTGAACGCTCTTTCGATATCTAAGAAAGTGGTTATTGCGATTTCTTTGTCATCTATTGACTTTGAAAGCAGTATGTTTAGATCTTCCAGAGCTAGGTCAGTTGACCTTTTTGGCCTGGCATGCATATTGGTTGAAATCGAGCGGATTCATTTCTATTTCTAACCTTTAAATAAAACTATTAGAACTATCAACTGTAGAAAACTTAAAACAGAAGTACCCACGAGATAGTTTTTTTTTGTGCTAAAATTCACAATATTCCAAAGATTGCTATTTAACGAGTCAAATACCAATGTAAACAAACTTCTGGCCATAAACGTAATTAAAAGCTCCACCTCCACACCACAGCACGTCACCGTCACGTGCGCAATGTCATACTTTCTTTTTATCGCATCATGAGAAAGATACGCCTTTTAATTAAACATTTACGGGTAAAAGCGTTTGGAATTCAGGGTTTTTTTTCTTTTTTAAATTTATCTTGAATTTATGTATAAATAAGCAAAATTTAGTGAATAAATAATTTTTAGAAGCTGATTTGTCAGGCATACCAATCATCGAGTCAGACATTAAAAATGACGAATCCCTCCTAAGAATGGCTAAAAAAGGCAAAATTGTTATAAATTGCTGTGGACCTTATCGATTTTTGGGTGAGCCAGTAGTTAAGGCATGCATTGAAGCTGGTGCACATTATGTTGACGTCAGTGGAGAGCCACAGTTTCTGGAATCTGTACAACTGAAGTATCACAAGGATGCACAGGAAAAAGGTAAAAAATTAGAAAGCGTTAATAGACGATCATTTCATTTACTCAGATAATACACATGTGTTGCATAGGATTTAAAATATTAATAGAGAGTGGTCTACAAAAAATGTTTGCAAAGTAGGCCATGACCGACAAAGACAGAGATACGAGTCATGTCTGTGATTAAATCCAAAAAGGCACTTAGAAAGAAGAATTAAACGATCCGACATGCACATATTAGAGAGATACTGCAAATTTCTATGTCAGCAACTAAGAATGACAACGTAATTACAGACAAATAAATTCCATTCTAAAATAAGACTTATTGCAAACCTGAAGTTTTGACATTAAAAACCTTTTCCTTATACATATTTCTAACCTCATTTTAAAAATTTTAAATTACAGTTCATCTTTTTTGTTCTCTATAATAGTATTTAATATGGAAGAGGCATTTTAAATTACCATTTTAGAAGGTTAGATGACCATGAAATTAAATAATATTTAATATTAAAAACCTTGCAACTGATACGAATGTCGGCGAGCACACCCGAAAGCTATAAAGTCGCCACTATCTGCTGTCCCTAAAAATCCACAATTAAGGACAGGCATAATCTTTAATAAAGTCAATTTTAGAACGTAAACGACCTGCTCATGCTCAGATGTCAAAATAAGAGCGGCGCTAATATTGACTGACCATAAGTTAACTTGCAATAACTCTCTATTGCAAGTTTACTATTAACGCCGCTCTTATTTTGACATCTGAGCATGCGCAGATTGTTTACGTTCTAGAACTGACTTTATTAAAGATTGTGCCTGTACTTAATTGTGGATGTTTACTGGCAGTATATAGTGGCGACTTTATAGCTTTCGGGTGCACTCGCTAACATTCGTATAGGTTCGAAATGTTCTAATAATATATATTTAATATTAACATCATCTAAATAGCCTATAATGGCCATTTATTATACCTATTCCGTATTATGTACTATTACAGAAAACAACAAAGATGATATAAAGTTATTAAAATGAGGTTAAAAATAAGTATAAGAACAAGGATTCTAATGTCAAAAGTTTAGGTTTGTAATAAGTCTGATTTTAGCATGGAATTTATTTGACTCTAATTACGTTGTCACTATTAGTGGCTGGTGTTATAGAAATTTGCAATATCTCTCTAGTGGCGACTTTATAGCTTTTAGGTGCGTTCGCCGACATTTGTATCAGTTCGAAGTTTTTAATAATAAATATTTAATATCATCGTCATCTAAACCTTCTAAAATGGTTATTTCTAATGCCTTTTCCATATTATGTACTATTATAGACAACAAAAAAGATTAACTTTAATTTAAAATTTTTTAAAATGAGGTTAGACATATGTATAAGGACATGTAATTTAATGTCAAAAGTTCAGGTTTGCAATAAGTCTTATTTTAGCATGGAATTTATTTGCCTCTAATTACGTTGTCACTATTTGTGGCTGACATTATAGAAATGTGCAATATCTCTCTATTTTTTCAATACCTACTTTAGAAACATTTTTTGTGGACCATTTCTTATTAATAATTGATATAATATGTTAACATCGACAGAAAAGATTCAAAAACCCAAAAAAATAGGAACATATAACACTTTTAGGTAATAGTTTTATAGCGTCTTCGAATCTAGTGCACAGCTTGCACTGAGTGCATACGAAAGGTGGGAGATATGTCAATACCAGTTACTTTTCAATCTGAAATGTAACCGGTATCGATATATCGTTCACCTTTTATGTGCACTCCACGCAGGCAGGGCAGTGAAATCGAAGACGCTATTAGTTACAAATATAAGAACAGTGTTGTCAATGGAAAATCACTAGATTGCTTACAAATTTCCTCATAAATTCCTACATTTTAATCACAAAAACTTTTAACTGCTTACACACCTACTCTGTTTGTTTTTTAATAAAAAATGTATTCATATGTTGAATTCATATGCATACTTAAAATTCGTTATTAAATTATAATGTAGATATATGCGATTTTTACAACATTCTTCTTAATTATAATTTATAATTGCTTCTTTTTTTTTGAGCCATACAATCAACTGTTAAAATTATTTCTTCTTGAAAAGACTGATTGATGATTGCAAATAGAAAGAGGTTATTGGAAAAAATACTTAGTTTTCTGTACAGTCAAATCGGGTAATTTTGGACCAGATATTTATTATAAATCTGAATTTATTTGTTATTGTTGCACAATTGATGCACCTACTGGTGTTCCTGCAAAATGATCTATAAGAATTTTAAATTAAAATTTATTGAAAATATAAAAAAATATATTTTTGGGTGTGGTCCAAAGTTATATTGGATTTGGGGTAACATTGACCAAAGTATTTTCATCGAGAGAAATTACTCATTTCTTACAATTTAAAGGCTACGGGTAAGATTAAACCATATTAGTTTTAATGTAGAGACCCCAGGTCAGTTATTAGTTATAATTTTTTAGAACCTTTCTTTAGTGGCATTTCAGCCAGATACGCTTGTGTTGGAACATATATAAAAACATAATTTATAAAAAAACATCAAAGTTTTATTCATGGTCTGGTTTAACTCTAGTACCACCAGGTGAACCTTGGGACATATCTCACCAGGTGAAGTCGGATACGACACTACCCTTATTTTATCATTATTTTCTGTAATAAAGGTATTAATGAATAAAAGATATCTTATTTAGAACTTAAAAAGAGTTATTCGAAGACCAACAAATATTTAAACGTCTAAAAACATTTCAAAAATAAAAAAGTTATTTATTGATATTGTAATGTTGGGGGCAAACAATTCGTTTGTGCTCACCACACACACTTTTTTTACAGTGGCCACAAGTATGGTTTCCTCTTCTTTTCTATTGCCTATCACAGAAGGCACAGAGACCTGGTCTTTTGGAACGAACTTCATGGGTATCATCAGCCATGCTCGCAACGGGAAGTTCTTTATTCAGCAAGGCACTAATTTGCGTTCGTTAACTAATTGTTATCCTTGGATTTTCCATTCTCTGCTCCATATGACTAGCTGTTAAAGCGAATGACAAGTCTTTTAGAAATTGAGACCGTGACACAAGGTTATCCACATTTAGTTTATAAATTAGGAAGGCATTTACTGCAGCAGCATCAAGAACACCAAAAAAGTACCGCATAGGCCAACGGTTTGATTTCCTTTTTGTGGTTTTAGAATGGCACAACTGGTCAAAAACATCCACTCCACCTTTTGTCATGTTGTAAAACTCTATTATCTCGGGCTTGTTTGTAAGTGGATCTATATCTCCAAGGGAATGCATGGATGAGATTAGAATTACGTTTTTTTTTTTTGGGACGTACGACACTATCATTTTTTCATCATCGTACAAAAATCTTGATGTTTCAGGAGGAAGTCCTTTTACATCAATAAATGATTTTGGTATCTCCTTCTTATTTTTTCTGAGCGTGCCAACTAAAGTTAGTTTATTATTTCTAAGTTCTTCAGCCAATTGACAAGATGAAAACCAATTATCAGTCGTCACATTTCTGTTGGTGTTCTTTATACATTCTGTCAGAGTCAGCACATATTGTGTTGGTAACAGCAAATCACTTTGCTGTCTGGCTTCTTTGCCAACATATGGGATTCCTCCACAGAAATAATATGTTCTAGCATCGCAAAGGGAAACAATTTTTAATCCGTACTTATCAGGTTTATTTGGAATGTACATTTTGAATGGACATCTGCCTCTAAAACTGAGCAAAGTCTCATCAACGGTGACGTATTCAGATGGTGTGTAGTTTTCCCTGCAATTGCGATCAAACAAATTCCAAAATTCTCTGAAAGGCGCAAATTTGTCAGTTTTTCTCCGTTCTGCTCTTGTGACTTTAGAATCAAATCGAAGAACCCGCAGTAAAAACTCAAAGCGATTTTTGCCCATGGCACACCGAAATAGACTAGGACCAAAAACTGGGGAGAAAATATCTAGCACTGTCAGGCCTAATTGTTTCAGCACACTAACCATATATAGAAGACCAATGAATGATTTTAGTTCCGATTTATGGGTCAGACTAGTGTACGATTGTTGAGAATCACCAGTATATGTCAGTTTCCATTTCTCGATTTCCTCATTAGTGTGCCTCACTACCGTTTCAATCATCTCGTCGGTAACAAAAAGATGAAAAATATCTATCACACTTGTAAGACCTCTGGCTCTACCTTTTGGTCCAGGAAGATGAGTAACAATGTTCTTTGCACGGCAGCGAGAAAAAATGCTACTCAACGGTGTGTCAGTCCAAATAGTTGTATTATCTTTACCCAGAACAAAATTTCTCTCACCTGCTTCAGAGCTTCCGTACTTGATGTATTATTATGCTCCATGGAGTTGTCACTTTCGTCGGAATCTGCAGGAGGCACATAATCGTCATCTTCTGGATCATCATCTGATAAAACGGCATCTTCTGTTTCACTTATACTGCCAGTTATTGATTTATCGTCACTGTCCCCCTCTTCTATTTTCGCAATTTCGGCCAATAATTCTTTTTTTGATAGCAACCTTCGATTAGCCATTTTGCATAAATAAAAATAAATGTAAAAATTATTGCATAAACCACCAGGTGGAGTCGGATCCGACACTTTAGGCGACAAATGATAGAAAAAACCACGTTACACTCGTCTAATTCAGCGTGCATGTAGAGACTGTCTAGGAGGGTACTTAAGCGGACCGAACGCTAGCCCACCTCCTCTTTCTCGTACGGACAAAATGGCTACGTCGATGTCGTATCCGACGTCACCTGATGGTACTAGGGTTAATGTTGCCCCATTGGTCCAAATTTACCTGATTTGACTGTAATGCAATTTATTTTAATTCAATTATATTTAAATTACCTAAAAATATGTATGTTCAAATAAAAACTACTCAACTGAGATACTACCTATTTAATTAAGATGCTCTTTTATGTCTCCTAGAATAAGTAAGCTTTTTTTATATACGTTGAAATCCGCAAAATATCATCACAATAATCTGCCATTGCTCTACATCTCTTTTAAATGTAAGCAATTTTGCTTCCACATTTGCAACACTGGAGTGCGTTTATAAACCTCGCACGGCGCGTCTGGACCCTATTCTATGTGGTCAGACGCGCCGTGCGGGGTTTTTAAACGCACTCCCGCATAAGAAGTTTCCGCTTCTTGGCTTATTGGGTGACATAATGATGTTCTAATTCCATATAGTTATTTATACATTAAAAACTACTTTATTTATTTAGTTGCCACGCCATTTTATTCATTGTTAAGAATTCTTAAAATAAAGAACAGACACCTAATTATTTTTCTATTTCACTCTTCCTATAATACACACAGAGATGGGACTAATAGGAAAATAACAGTATACATTTATGGCAACGATGCTAAAAAGTATGGAACAACAAAAAACTACTAGACTAATTAGTTCATTCATAATTAAGCGCTTATTTCTTGCAAGCATTCAGATTATGTTTTATAATAGACAAACAGAGCTGTCACATCGGCTGCCAGATTACAACGAACTATCGCCGTCTCCGGCTGTTAATTCGAGTGGGTATGGTTTGTGCGAGCTTGCCTATCTGCGGTACGAGCACGCGTTTTATGAATGAATCAGTACTTACGACTACGGCGCTTGCTTTACACTGCTGTCACACTTCAAAATAAATTGCGTACTTTCCTGAAAATCACCTTCAATTATGATAGTTACAACGAGAAAAATACATTAAACTGATAATAAGTAGCATTAAGAATGCTAATATACGTCTTTACTGTAATTTTTAAAATATTTTGTGACTTTTGGAGCCATATTTTAAGTCGATTCCGAATTATAACCATAAATAATCCTTATAATAATTTGACAACTATGTTATTTTTATTATTTATAAATGATATCTCAGAATGTTTCAAGTTTGCCAAATTTTTATGCTTTGCTGATAACCTAAAGTGTAACCTAGCAGTTTCATCTCTTGAGGATTGTCTCTGATCTCCCTAGGCTTGATGAGTGGTGTGCGAATAATGCTATGGACCTAAACATCACTAAGTGTCACTCGATATCCTTTACTAGGAAGATCAGCTGGATTGATTATGAATATAATATTAAGGGTACACCAGTGTCCCATGTGGCATCCATTCGAGATCTGGGTGTTATTTGTCAATCACATTGACACAATAGTACCCAGAGCACTTGGTATGCTTGGGTTTATAAAGAGACTTTGCAAGTATTAATGCTATCAGGTTATTGTACTGTAGTCTTGTTAGGCCTCTGCTAGAATATTACTCTTCAGTCTGGAATCCCCAGTATACTTGTCACATTCATAGATTAGAACAGGTTCAGAGAAAATTTCTTCGCTACTTAGCATTTAAATCAAATATTCCACGGATAGATGACTATTCCTATGATTTTGCGGCACTACAAGAGACATTCTCCTTACCAACTTTGAGAATAAGAAGAGATCAGGCAGATCTGAAATTATTTTTTAAGCCCATTAAGTATATGATTGACTTCCCTACATGTTGTTAGCAGCCCAACTAGAAGCACAATATCAATAAATAGTTTTTCATCAGCCCTACATGAGAACTAATACTGGCCTCAATTAATTCATGCCTAGAGTTTCACGAAGCGCTAATGCTTGTGCTGATGGTCTAGAATTTTTTAATTCAAGCCTTTCTAATTTTGTGAGGGTGTTAAAACTTACTTTGACTTAAATTCCCTAGTCTTAATATTAGTTGTTTCGATTTTGTACATGTTAATATATTTATTGTTTGTTTATTAGTTTATCATTATTATGTCATATTATTTAGATTGACTCTATTTGAGGTTTTTTTTATTTGTAACTTTGTACTGAAAGTGGACAAGGCCTGTGAATAAATAAATAAATAAATGAAAACACCTTGAATGCTTGCAATTCGATTTTTGTAAACAAAATTAGTCTAGTAGTTGTTCGCCGTTGAAAGTATGCATACCACAGCTAGTTACGTAATTACAGGTGTATATATCGTGAGTGCCTGTGGCTTCGACAGCATCCCTTCCGACTTGGGACTGGTATTTGTCCAGGACAAATTCCCAGGTACTCTAAATTCCGTTGTGTCATATTTGGAAATGTGGGAAGAAGGTGAAATTAGTCCTGGTCCAGGTGTTAATTATGGTACTTGGGAAAGTTTGGTGTACGGTTTGGCTCACGCTACTGAACTGTCAAGCATTCGCAAACATTTGTTTCCAGAGCGATTACCCACTTTCAAACCAAAATTGCAACTTAAGTAAGTAATTAGCAGTAAAGTAGTATGCACGATAAGATCATATGTTGCAAGAACGCTCGTTATATCTTTGGATCAGAAATGAAACTTGAATATAGAAGAATTGCTAGAAATGTAACATTCCTTCTTTCACAAATTGTTGAGTGGAGCAATGTGCCATAGAAGTATTATTTATTATTTTCAATAAGAGTCCTTTCCAGTTGTAAATTGAAAAGTATCAAAAAACGCTTTATTAGAAACGGTAATCAGTACAAGTACAAAATATGACAAAAGTCATCTTGCAATGAATGGTCATTCAACTGTCAAGTGTCATTGAAAATAGACCATACATTACTAGACATAAACAAACAAGCTAATTTGATTGTCTCAACACAAATTAAGTACTAAAATAATATTGATTTATCTATCATCTTTTAAAGAACTTAATACTAAATGAAAGATTGTGAGCGTTTTTGTTGAATTAAGGGTTTATTAAGTTTAAAGAAAAACAGTTAATCAATGAAAGGAGAAACTGATTATTATTTTCGAAGTATCTACACATATACAGGAAGAATCTAATTGGATACTTTGTAAGAAGTCGTTAAAATAAACATAATTTAAAAAAAAAAAAAAAATTTAAGAAAACACAAATTTTACAGAAATAGCACAAAAAAGTTCAAACAAAAACAATAGTAAAATAAATTCAACAAAAACACTCAAAAGCGAAAAATAATCGATAAACGATACACATCAACGACCTTAGATGTACACTCGTCTTCTAAAGGCGAGGTTGCCGGTTCTATCGAAACTATAAGGTATTTTTCGCGGCATAAACCAACATAGGGGTCTATTCTGTAACAATTCCTTTATATTTAACGGCCTTTAAAAATATTTTCTTCTTTACTTCTGTAATTATTTAAACGGATTTTTAAAATACATTAGAGGACTATCTTAAAGAAATCTGTTTAAATAATGACATAAGTAAATTAACGAATACAAATATACTTTTAAAGGCCGCCAATATTTTTAAAGGCTGTTAAACATAAAGGAATTGTTACAGAATAGGCCCCATAAACATTTATGGTAGATTATGTTATTTAGGCATGATCTTGCATTTTGGCCGACATCAAGGACCGGGGGGAAGGTTGTAATGACGTCAATGTTTAGCATACTCGAACATGATCTCATCCACAGGCGGTTATGTTAATTTATGTGTTTGACAAATGGCTAGAGACGGTATACAAAGATAAAAGATGGCTTTAATTTTAAAATTTAAATTAAATAAGATTGAAATTGAAGTAGAGGAAAGATACGAAATTATTCAACAATTAAAAGATAATATATATAAATAGATTAATTGAAATAGCACAAGTAGAATTTGTTGTAATTTTTAGACAATATATTTAGGTACATTAATAATTAATATAAAATAATTAAACTCTTAGGAAAAATCGTGTGGTTTACACACACATGAGTAATTGAAGTAATAAAAAATTGTTACTGCAACTCACTGCCCACTGTCAAAACAGCATGGAATTTCCATTTTCGCGCCAACATATACTATATGTGGTAGGGGGATAGACGAACATGATTATTATTATAATTTGATAAGAGCAGGGGCCATAAGACCCATAAGCCCATATTAACTGAATATAGAACAATATTACTAAAAACTAAATCAATAACAGGTACAACCGATGAATAAACAATGAAACAAATGAAATGTTAATTAAAAAATAGAAAATTATCAAGTTCGTTCTTGAAAACATTGACAGATGGAGCATTTACAACATTCTCCGGTAGAGAATTCCAAGTGTAGAATATTCGATTAAATAAAAAAAATTGCCTCGTTTTCGTAAAAAAATGTTCTTTTTTCAGCTTCCATTTATGGCCACGTAGTCGCTTTTCACTGTCCACGGTGAACATACATTTTAAATTTCCAAAATTATATTTTAAAATACGAAAACAAATTATCATATCACCCCGCAGACGGCGATTTTCAAACGTTTGTAGTTCAGCCATATGTAGTCTCTGCGTAATTAGGTCTCATACGTCCGAAAAATAGTCTGGTTGATTGGCGCTGCACATTTTCAAGAATATTTTTATCCCGCTCTACTTCCGGACACCACACAGCTCCGCAGTACTCGATGATCGGACGAATGTATAATTTATACAGCCGGATCGAATTTTGAAAAGACACTTTTGCGAATGTTTTCTTTAATAAGTCCATTTTCGTGTTCGCCTTTTTTGACACTTGAAGAACGTGCTCAGACCAGCTGAGATTTTCAGTAATTATAACACCTAGATCATTGTAAGATTTAACTTTAATAATAATAATAATAATAAACGTCTTTATTATACCAGCAAAACAACATTTACAAAGTATAAATGGCGTAGTCTAGCCAAATGGCCATTCAACTTAACCATAACACAAATCCTAAAACTAACTTAAACCTAACCTACTCTACATTACGCTGAATGCCTACGGATGAATTCAAATTTAAATTAAGAACAAGAATTAAATAAAACAAATAAAATAGAATATGAATTAAATATTTTCATTTGCTTGGCTACCAAGAAAATATGATTTTAACATTATTTTAAATGAACTAGTACTCAAATATGATTTTAAGTGTGTATTTAGTGAATTGTATACTTTAGCGACATTATAGCTAAATGACCGTTGAAACATGGCAGTTCTATGTCGTGGCATGGCGATAGTATGGCGATTTCGCAAATTTAAGGCATGTGCGTCAATCCTACTTTATTTAACGTATGACCATTTAGAAAATAATTATGACGAGGATTATTTTTACCAATATGGAGAACTACACTTTTATTTGTATTTAGAGGTAGCATCCAATCTGAGCACCAGTTATAGATGAAGTCAAGGTCATCATGAAGCTGTTGGAAATTCAAAGACGGGTCACTAAATATGTTAGTGTCATCTGCGTAAAAAATATTGTTGCACTTGATATGGAATTGACGGTCACTGGCATATATTATAAATAAGAGTGGACCCAGAACGGATCCCTGAGGAACCCCACTCAAGACTGGTCTTTCAAGTGAATGCGAATTTCCAACTTTAACACAGTACTTTATATCAGTTAAGAATGACTCGATCCATTTAAGTAAATCACCACGTATACCAAGGTGTTCTAACTTATGTAGTAATCTTCGTTTCGGCACACGATCAAAAGCTTTCGCAAAATCCAGGTAAATAATGTCTATGGGTTTTTTCCTGTCTAATGAAACTGTCCACTCATTTACACACCAGAGCAAATTGGTCATGATTGATCGCCCTTTTACAAATCCATGTTGCTGTTTGGGAATGATTTCTTCCGCTAAGAGAAACTGAGAAACGTACTCTGTTATTATGGATTCCTTAACTTTACAGATTATGGGTGTGAGGCTGATTGGGCGGTAGTTATTAGAGTCTAGTTTGTTTCCTTTCTTGAAAATGGGTGTTACAGAAGCTGTTTTCCAGATAGAGGGTAATATGTGTGTATTAAAAGACAAAGACATTATAATAGATAAAGGAACTGATATGGTATTAGAGCATTTTTTTAAAAATAGAAGATATTTGATCTAGACCCGGAGAGGAATTGTTTTTTAATTTTAAAAGGTGACGTTTGACAATTTCAGGAGTAAAATTCAGCCGTTCTAAGGAAGAAGGGATTCTTTCGGGTGAGATATCTGGTAACTGATCCTGGGGAGGTTCATTGGTGAAAACTTTTCGCCATTTCGAAATTATTTTGGCAGGGACTTCCGTCTTCTTTTAGACCGTCAGATAGTGACCGATTTTGGTGCCCCATTTTCGCATACAAGTCTCGAAGAGGGTTGAAAAGTACATCGATGTTGAGTAGAATAAAAGAAAATTTACGAGTGGCTCTTGGGGATAACACATGGAAAATTCGATTTTCCTTATCAGAAAAATTTTCCGACCTCAAAATGTACTTATACATTCGGGTCATTCAAGAAAATATGTTTTTCGGACTAGTGGCGAGGTTCGTTTTCATACATTCCATGGGCTTGTGTGGAAAAATCGGGCAAAATCTCGATTTTTCCTTAGAAAATTACGCCCTTATTTCAACCCTTTAGCCACTTGCAACATTAAAGCCTTTGGTTTTCTGAAGCCTAGTTCTATTAATTAATCATGTAGTGAAAACGGCTTGAGTGGAAAAATGGGCAACAAATAACCTTTCATGTTTGTTAAGGAAAATCGAATTTTCCATGTGTTATCCCCAGCAGCCACTCGTAAATTTTCTTTTATTCTACTTAAAATCGAAGTACTTTTCAACCCTCTTCGAGGCTTGTATGCGAAAATGGGGCACCTAAACCTGTCACTATCTGACGGACTATTTGTTTAGTAAAGGAATGGATACTTTTGATGACAGTGAAGATCTAATATATTTGTATAATTTTTTACAGTTTTGGCTGCATGCTATCGACTCTTCATATTCTTCTCGGGCCTCCTTTATAAATTTCTTTAGGTCCTTGGAAAATTTTTGATCGCTTATATTTACGCCATAATTTACTTTTATGTCTAATCAAGGATATTACAACATAATCCGTTTATGTAGCGAAAAATACCTTAATGATAGTTTTCATATATCACGACATAAATAGTTCGTTTTTCATGTGTCACCTCGAAAAATCGGAAGGAACTGAGCTCCAATTTTATATTCACTACGTTTCAGTATTATTAGTTGACAGTTTCAAAGGAAATTGTATTTTTAACGTGCGTTCTTGCAATCAATAAAGATGTAAAATTTCTTTATAATTTAGGAAGAATTGGCGCATGAGTGTCGAAAACTATTTTTTGTTAGAATTCTTTAAAAATATGCCAAATATTATATAAAGCAGTTTGCCATGTGACAATTTTGTATAAAATTAAATTGTTTAAACAATTCCTAAAAAATGTTATAAAAGATTTTGACGACTTTTAAAGGCTCATAAATATTTAAAAACTCAATTAATAAGACAATTTATATAAGAATTATTGATTGATATTTGAAGTCAAA